TGTCAAACTGTCCTGTCTTTATGGAAAAAAAAAAAAAAAAAAAAAAAAAAAAAAAAAAAAGCAAGTATCAACAGAAACACAAGACCTCTCACAAGGCCAAGGGCAAGCTTGGTAAATGTGTACATAAGAAATACCCTTTTATCTAAAGGTAAAATTTGGTATCTCACCCTGAAGTTGCTTAGCAGTCAGCTCAGATATTACAGTTATGACTGAGGCTCTCCCTTTCCTACTTGGACTTCCCTTTGTGAGATTCTCCCGTGCCATACAGCCCAAGTGCCTTGGTGTGGCAGAAGGGCTGGTGAGGGCAAAGACTGCCACAGTCAGCCCTGCTTCCCCTCCCCACCTTCACCCTTCTCTACAAACCATGCAAAGTAACTGCTGAGCATATGGTTTGTAGCTCTGTCCTGTGATGTGCAGGCATGAGAGGACCACTAACTACCAAACTTTTACAGTACTGGAAACATGACAGAATTAATCACTTGCTACAGAAAGTGACAGGCTGTCCCTCTAAAAACAGTTCACACCACTGGTAAGAAATCCACTCTGACTGCATTCCTCTAGCCAGAATCATGACTTCAACAAAGAACATGCGCAGTTCTACCTGACAGAAGAGATTCCTTGTTTCTGAACTGTTTCCAGAACACTGAAACCAATATAAAAACTATGAAACAGAAATAAAACTAAAATTTGTCTCCTCAGTCATCACACATGCTCTGAATGGCAGAGCAGCAATTTATTGCCCGTGCAATGTAACAGCATATAAATGTGTACTTAAAGAAGGAAATCAGTATTAATTTCATAACCTTCAATACCAAAGCAGACAAGCTTTTTTTGGTAGACTCAGGAACAAATCCTGTACTTATTTGCACCGGTTGGTTTTATGTATGTGTGCATCATTATGCCATACAGGTATTATGAAGACAGAGATTGTCATATGAATAGAATTTTACTGTCAAAGGATATTTTTGTTCTAAATCCAGCTGCAACCATCTTAATTACAGAAAATAATCAGGTTTTCCTACTACACATTGTCTGCTGAGCAGACAATGAAAAATTTCTGAGATTCATTCAACAGAGCAGTTATGAAATGCAAAATTCTGAAAAGTGTTAACACAGGAACTTAATAAAGCTTTTCTGAAAATAATGCTGAAACAAAACTAAAATCATGAAATGTTTTGTTTGGTTGGCAAGTCTCATCAGCTGTGGAGTTCTGAATTTATCAGCCACAGACTTTTTAAGAAAATCACTATGTGCTTTGAAGTTCAACTAAGGCTTAATAAACTTTCTTACAGGTCTGGAGTACTATATAAATTTTGTCAGAGCTGTGCTGGCATAGCTGGTAATACAAACTGTCTGGCTTCATGAAAGTTACAAGCTCTGGCTCCAATCCTGCAAACACTTACTGAAGAATTTAACTTACTGCACAGAACTGACTACTCATGCATAAGCTAAGCATATTTGTAAATATTTGCACAGTATGGACATCTGTTGGCATAGCCAGTCATCTGATACAAGATTCAGCTTTAAATCCTAGTCTGCGTAGAGTCAATATTAAAAAAAGGAATTCCTCACTTTATAAATTCCTTTCTTAGGCATCAAGCATGTCATATACCACAGGGTGGAACCAAAAAGTTAAAACTAGAGGAAGAGAGGAATCAGTGAAATCATAACAACTGGATCTGTTTCTTATGTGACTAGAGAAACTTGGTTTCTTATGGGCACAACTCATTGATTGAGCTCCTGCCTTATTTTCAACTTTTGCTGAACAAAGCTCTTGCTATACCTTTCCTTTAGTGGTGCTATTTACAGCGTTTCTCACATCATCACAGGCAAAGCTCAGAAAATTACTCCAAAGAACTCCTCCTTTTTATCAGGTTTGGTTATTAATGCTTTTCAGTTATGGGTAAGCTAAGAAATACAGTACAAAGTTGGCCCACAGCAAATCGTGGAAGTTGCATTTCCTTAAAAACCAAACTAGAAAAAGACAGTAATGTCTCCTTTCTCTTATGTTTTGGCATTTGAACAGGTCCTGTTTCACCCATCAATAGCAAAACATTTTGCGATGTTTGCTTACAGCTGGTACTAGGCACAAATACATGTAAAGGAGAAAAAGCATCCTCCCACTGATTCAGAGCAGCATTGGAGAGAGAAAGCCTCCACAGCACAGTGGATATCTCAACTGCAGAGCTGCCATGTGGAGCTCTGCTGCTTCAGAATAAAGAGCTGAGATCTCCCTCTGGCCTAGTTCTGAAGTCTGTTTGACAGCTGTGGCCTAGGGCACTAAACAGTTTCCTTCAAAAAATACAGGAAGGGACTGAGGGGATGGAGGCCAGGCGGGCCGCCAGCTCCGGGGAGGGGACAGCGAGACCCCACCAGGGACATGGGTGGCAAGAGCCCTTGGCAAAGCCCTAATGACACGCGTAAATTAAACGCACTGATCCAGCGCGGGAAACGGGATCCCCGGAGAGGGGAAGGCGGGTGCCGTGCGGGGCCTCGCTCGAGGCCGTGTCCCAAAGCGGCCTCAGCACACCGGGCCGNCTCGGCCCGCTCCGCCTCTTCCCCTGCCCGGAAAGCAGCGAGCGGGCGGCAGCTGCGCCTCTCCTCTCCCCCGCCCCGGCGGGCGAAGGGAGCGCCCGGGCTCCGAAGGAGCGACAGAAGTCACAGGGTCCGCAGGCAATCAGAAAGTTGTATTACTGAATTGCACACTTAACGTGGAAGTAGTTCTGTTTAGTCCTTGACCTACTGTGTAAGCACACGGCGGTGGGTTTGGATATAGCGGTAGGGCGAATGGGAAGAGAGAAAGTAAGAGGTGAGTTAAAGGGGGGCAGAGAGAAAGAGAGAGAGGAAGAAAAAGGAAAGGAGAGGGGAAAAGAGATCACCACTCCTGATTGCAGCATTGATCCAGCTCATGGCCCTAGGGGCCGCTGCCCAGGCTTGGGAGGGGCACCTTTTTATGGGTAGGTTTTCTCCACCCTGAAAACAGGTTTCTCGCTTTCCATGTAAGTTTACCAAGTGCAGTCCGACCTTTCAGGTCTTTCTGGAAATGGGTCGTGGGGCTTGAGTGGGCTTGATACTTCTTTAAAATCCATGCCTGCTTCCTGGCTTCATCATTCCCGTGCCTAAACTGTACTGGGTTATGTTTATCTCCAGGAACGAGAACAAGTGTGTTTGTCCAGGAAAAGTGCTGCCCTACCTCTGCATGGTCCCCTTCCCCAGCCACGTCTTGTTCTATCTCATGGCATGTAGCAGTTTGTTCTTTCTAACAGTGCAACAGGCCTTGACACAAACGGTGCAAACTGAAGGAAACTCCATTTAAACATAAGAAAAGGTGTCTTTAGTGGAACAGGTTGTCCTGAATGACCGTGGCATCTCTATCAGTGGAGGTATTAAAAATCAGGCTGGGTATTGCTCTGGGCCGCCACTGTAGCTGACCAAGCCCTGAGGAATAAACCCTCTTCAGAGGTGCCTGCCAGCCCTGGCCACTCAATGGAACCTCAGTCCTACGAGGCTGGTCAAGGGCAGAGCCACAGTTCTCTCACAGCTGTCATCCTACCCAGTGTACAACATGGTAAATCCTGGTAAATAGGATCTTTACCTCCAGATCGCACCGAGGAGCCATAGCCACAGCACAAAATGCGTATTTTCACGCACGTGTATGTACAATGTGTACGTAAACTTTACCCACACAAGACTGGATTGATGGCCACCTTCCCAGAGATTTAGGAATAAATATTATGTTATCAAAAGTACTAAAGTATACATATCAATTGTAAATCTCAGAGATATGAAATCAATACTAAAAACATACATCTATTCCCCAAAACAGAGCAGAACCAACCCAGGCCAGCATATGCAAAGCAGCTGAGCTGATGTAAGGCTGAAAAAATAATTTCCTGAAGTTTGAGCATATACCTTCATCACTGAGATTACATTAATCTAAATTTGTTTTATTTTAATTTTTCTGACTTTTTTTCCACTGATTGAAGTAAGGCAAGATTTAAATGCCAAAGACCATGTGTTTTGAAGTCCCCAGGGAAATCACTTCCTCTCAGAGTGATTGCAATTTGCTGTGGTATATGCTTGGATTGCACCATTCACTGATGGGTCTTGTAAAACTGTGCTCACTACTTGTGTTAGCAAAGAGAGAAAGAAGCTCATCAGTTGTGCTGTCATCTGCACAATACTTCTGGAAGAGCAGAATAGAGTTGATTGCTGTTTGAAACCTTCCTAGAAGTAAAGCCTTCCATGTGGAAAAAAGGGTTCTCCATAAGATTTGCCTTCTAGTCCTGAAAATGACAAGTCTTAGCATGTTGTACACCACTGAGTTTAACAAAGCTCTGGAAAAGCCAGGAATCCAAGTCTGCAAGCCTCCAGATGCAGCATGTGTCAGGATCAAGTCTAGAAGCATAAGCTGCAGTTGTTCCAGAGCTCCTATCTCCTCCCTGACTGTAGCGTGTGGTGGAAATGTAGCAAACATTGTACATTTACAAAACTGACTTATTAAGCTCACATATTTCAAAGCACCAATCGATCCTTATTTAGGCACCTGGTAAGCAAACTAATTTTCAGAGGTGCTGAGTACTCCTACCATCAACTGAGCTGAATGGACATTTCAGCTGTTCATTTCTTTTGATTTATGAGCAAATCCCACAATCTCTAGATGTATATTGGCCCTGGGATCTATAATGTCCTTTTCCAGGAACTTTCAGATAGAAATGTTTTTCTCAGATACTTTGAAATGTCTCAAACGGAAATTCTCAAATAAGCCTGGACAAGGCTCTAGAATGACATCAGTTTTGGAATAAAAATTATCCAGTAATTTATACATATTAAATATTTAAAACTTTCTGTTGTTACTCATGCACACTTGATATATGCTGTTCCCCTTTATAAACAGAGGATATACTATATCATTATAAACAAAAGATAAACTAATTAGGGATTTCAGTCAAAAGCTGATGATACTAGAATCTTACTTGCTTAAGAATTAAACACTTTACCTTCAGTCTTGCCAACACATTTAAACTGTAGTAGTGTCTCCCTGAAAGAAAATGCTGACGTTTAAAACACTAGGCTGATCTCAACTGCTGCAGTGATATCATTTTAAATACTCAAATCTTAATTTCATGCACATGGGTATTCTCATTTGGGTCCATATGACTCATTAAGTCCAGAAAGTTAAATGCATCCAATATGGGACTAGCCCTAGCCGAATCTGAGGACAATTATTTTCCACATTTCAGAGCCATTTGATTTGCATTCAGACTTCACCTGCATGTTGTCTGTTCATTCATTTCTGCTAGGCCTGCTTCTTATAATGCAAATATTTGTGCAAATGCAAGCATCCCTTTTTGCCAAACAAAAATTACTTACTTTTGGTGCCAAAGAAACGCTACCTCTTGTCCACCTTCAGCTGCGGAATTTACTCCTTCCTCCTCCCGTACACCAGCTTTAAGTGAAGGCAGTTTTAAACTTTGCTCAGAGCAAGAAACAAAAGACTGTGTAGAAAGAAGTGTGATTCATTTTTGAGTAAAGGCTGTTGTTTAAAAGGCAAAAAATATTTCCACATGATTTTGTTTCATTTTACACTGTTTCAACAAATATGGGTCAGGTTTATCTACTTTATGCTTCAGTGGTTCAAGCATTTACATGCATAGCTTTAAATCCATTGCTCTGCACGTTTAAGGGCCACCTGTATGTAGGGATGCAAGGGTTATATTTAACCCCAGTAAATGGCTTAGTGATAAATGGAACTTTAGCTCATGTACCATGATAATTATGGTTCATTTTAAGTTATCTGGTTTAAAATACTGTTCTGAGTTAATCACAGGCCAAATTATTGCTTTGTTTGGTTTTATTCAAAACAAAGCATGCGTGGCATTGAAAAAAATTGAAAATATGGAGGCCAGACACAGAGATGGCATTGACCTGAAAGAACACACACCGGCATTGCAAACCTATAAAACATCATTTGAATTTCTAACTAAAATTTCAAGTCAATCCATCAAGCTAGAAAAGAATTATTTTAAATAGCTCTTCATGACAGCATTTGTCTAAGCAAGCATTTCTCTTATTGAAAATAGTCCATTTTAAGGAAAATAACAGTGTTCATTTAAAGGCACTCAAGCAATGGTGAAAAATATTCTAACCTGCTCTGAGGAGAAATCACTTCATCCTTTGCACTAAACAAGGTTGCATCACCTTGTGCACCTACAGGTAACAATTATAATTTTTGGCCTTAATAGAAATAACCTGTTGAGTTCCAAAGTTTGCCAGTATGTCAGGTCAAATGGCATTAAGAGAGAGAAAAGGAAGAAAGCAGAATTAGATAGGAAAATGTAGGCACACCCACAGAAACCATGGGATTCATATTGCCTAATTTTATACAGATTATATAGTGTCTTTTAATGCTAAATGAAGAGAAACAGAATAGCATCCATCTGGCCTACTTCATAAGTTTATGTCAGAGTTAGCCCACCTATCTAGAGGAAGATATCCAAATTGAAGATACCTCAGAAAAAAAGTTAAGAACTTTTCCCCACTACTTTTTTTTTTTTTTTTTTTTTTTTTTTTTTTTTTTTTTTTTTGTCTGTACTGGGACAGGCCCCAGTTTACATACAGTTGTGATCATTGTTATAATTCTCCCTTTCTTCCTGTTTTTGGTGCATCCATCACACCCTAGGATGGATGAGGACCTTATTGTGGGGTTAGCACAAGCAGATATTTATTGACACAAGTATGCTGGATCTAAGAAATCTTATTGTTCCTCTCTTTAATCAGCTAGAAAAGTCACTTATTGGAGGTGTGTTGCTATAGCAAGCAGACCTTGGTCTGTTTATAGAAGCTGCTCAGAATGATGTATACTGTTTAGAGAAAAAAGTAGAATGAGTATACAGATTGTGAGCTGGCTTGAAATGAACAGTAGCAACACTTTAATGTGCTTGATACATTTATCCACAGCAGTAAGTTACTTCAAAATATCCTCATTATGACTCAGACATAATGCCATAATACCATACGACTGTTAAAAAAACCCAAAACACACACACACAAAATCCAAACCATAAACAATACCCCTCCCCAAAAACCAACCAATCAACAACAAAACAAAAAAAAAAACCCACCCAAAAAAACCCCCAAAAAACAAACCAACCAACCAACCAACCAACCAACCCCTACAAAGCCCCTGAAATATTTTTTTCCTAAATGCCAAACGTATGAGACTTTTCTAATATTTTTAGATTAAAAGTTGTTGCATCAAAAGCATTACAGCAGATATTATAATGATGCCTTCCTTTACTGTTTATTTCAACAAATTTCTCAGCCCCATTAGGACATTCTCAGAAAGCAAATGCTCACTTGAAAAGCAGAACATGAATAAAAGCTATGAAACAAACTGTTCAGGTTGATATGAAAGAAGGTAACACTTAAGATTGAATGTTACAGTGAACCTCATAAGTGCTGTGTGATGGCATTATTACTTTTATTTTTGCTCTGTTATCGTTGTTGTTGTTGCTATTATTATTAGCCAAAAGTACTTTGACAGTCTTGATGCTGCAGTTTTCCTTCCAGAGTATCAATGATTAGAAATGTCATATCTTCAAGGTAAAAAAATGTTAACAATACCTTTCTACCACAGTTTATACACAAGGATAGATACACTGTACGTGTATATGTGTATACTGACACAACCATTTAAATATGTATATATATCTTTCATATAAAATATGTATATGCATATGTTTGCGCATTGTTCTATTGAGGCTTCATTCCTTTGATACTGAGGAAGAGAAGTCTAAATTTTTCAGACATTTGTGAGAATACTGTTTATCTTAGAGTATTCTAGTGTATCCTAAAGTACTATTAATCCTAGGATACTATCCATATATCCATTCAGAAAATGCCACTTATTCTTCTCCTCAAACATCTTTAAGCATACATAATTTCTGTTGATCTGTGGTGTTCTTATTTCTTCACTTTGAGGAATTCTCTCTGAACAACCACTGGATGATTAACAGTTTTATTTGTGCTATTTTCCCCTCCCTGCTGTATACTAACAGCAATTCTATTATTAAAGCAACATATGCATAATTCTTTTATCCAGCAACAACTAAGACAGCATTAACGAGGTCCCTTATGGTTAATTAAGAAACCTAAAATGGTTAACTTCTGATTTCAGACATACAAGTCTAAACCAACATGCTTATGCTCTTGTAGAAAACCCACCAGGTGGAATCTCAAAGAACTGAACTGTTTATAATGCTGTCTACAGAGAGATAATTCCATGCAGACTTAATTTCTTTCCTAGCAAATACTGTGTGCCAATTTGAGAAGCACAAATGATGGTCAGTTTGTGCACCAAAGATGGTCCATATTTTATGAGAGTGCACACCCAGGCTGAGGAAAGGAACATATTTCAGGTGACATTCAGCTCCCCCTAAAAGAGATGCCCATCTCCGGACAGCCCATCAGCTCTCTAAAATTCATGGCATTTGCTGACTGTAGGTTCAATTTGGTTGCAGAGTGGGAGCACCTGGCCAGTAGGGCACTGTCTTCCTTAGGTCTTTTGTCATAACCTCTAGCTGCATGTACATGTGTCAGATACCTTAAGGTATCTCAGATGACATTAGTGACCTCTTAGAGAAGAAGAGGATTATGGGATAAAGAAACACAAATTCTAAATGCCTTAGTCATATTTTGATGTTCAAATGCCGTAAGGCAGTGAAGTATCAACATCATAGCCAAGATTTCTCTCTCTTAATTATTCCTTCTTGTTGTCATGCTTTCAGCTGGGATAGAGTTAATTTTCTTCTGAGTAGCTGGTACAGTGATGTGTTTTGAAGTTGGTATGAGAATATATCTCGATGTTGACAACACACTGACATTTTAGTTGTTGCTAAGTAGTGCTTACTCTGAATTAAGGCCTTTTCAGTTTCCTGTGCTCCGCCAGCCAGCAGGTGCACAAGAACCTGGGAGGAAATGTGGTCAGGACAGCTGACCCAAACTGGCCAAAGGAGTATTCCATACTGCAGAACATCGTGGCCAGTATTTAAACTGTGGGAAGTTGGCCAGAGGCAGCAGATCACTGCTTGGGCACCAGCTGGGCATCAGTCAGTGTGTGGTGAGCAAATGTATGGAGCATTGCTTGTTTTTTGGGGGGTTTATTTCTCTCCCTCTCCTTTTTCATGATGAATATTGTTATTATTATAATTGATATTATTAGTATTATTAATATATTTTATTTTGTTTGAATTGTTAAACTGTTCCTACCTCAGCCCATGAGGCTGAAGATTTTCTGATTCTCCTCATGACCAAGGATGGTGGGAGTGAGTGAGCAGCTGCAAGGGTGCTCAGCTGTCAGCTGGGGTTAAACCACAACACATGTAGGTATAGATATTCCTGAAATATCTATATTTCATATAGATATTCCTTCCCAGCTTTCAATAATAGCATTTGTAAAATGGCTAACATGTGTATGGATTATGTGATGTCTAACATGAACTTGAGCTCATGCCACAGTTCAAAGGAAAATGCAATCACCTACAACTTCATTAGAAGATGAGCTTCACTGGTGATTTTGGAACATTGTTTTGTTGTTGTTCTAAAACCTAAATATATTAGAAGGGGTTATCTGCCTATGCCAATCTATGGTCAGGCACAGAAATCCCTCCACGGGGCCAGAAGTGTGGGCTGCATAGTGGTTGTGTGAGAAGTGAACTCTGCCTACAAGTGAAAGCAAGGTGAGCTCTAAGCAGAAGGCACAGATATGAGCGGGTTTAGAAAGAACAGGCAGGTCTAGAGCAGTTTGAAACACCTGAGTTTTAAGTGAAAGAAGCCTCATTTAACGCAGAATACAAACACAGATGAAGAAATGTATTTAAGAGAAGTTATTAGTTCTTCCACTATTGGAGTAACCAGTTCCCACAGAATCTCCTGCTTGTTGCTGGTTGTGGCTTCTTTACTATAACTGTGAGTGATATCATGAGAAGTAAAATAAACAGGGTTAGAGCATGGCCTCAAACACTGACCAGGAACCATCTGTATTGTCTAATTGGTAGCAATTCCAGGCTTAGTCCTGTGCCAAGTAGTAAACTTCCCAGACGCTGCACCAGCACAATGACAGTGACAACAAGACTTTGCCCAATAAGTAGCGTGCAGTGTGATTTGGGTTTGCATGGCAAGGTTTTGGTAGCAGGAGGGGCTACAGGGGTCACTTTTGTAAGAATATGTCCTATGTCCAAGAGATCCAGTGCCAGCTGGCTCCAGCACAGACCCTCTGCTGACCAAGGCTGAGCCTAGCACTGACAGTGGTAGCACCTCTGGGACAGCACACTTAAGAAGGGGGGAACAACATTACAGGCAGAAGGAGGGGTGAGACTACATGAAAGCAACAGCTCTGCAGGCTCCAAGGTCAGTGGGGAGGAGGGCAGGAGGTGCTTCTGGCACCAGAGCTGGAATTCCCCTGCAGCCCATGGTGAGGCAGCTGTTCAGCCCATGGATGTTCACAATGGAGCAGAGATCCACCTGCAGCCTGTGAAGGACCCCACCCAGAGCATGTGGATGCCCTAAAGGAGGCTTTTCCATGGAAAGCTTGTGCTGGAGCAGGCTCCTGGCAGGACCTGGGCCTCCTTGGGGACTCACACTGGAGCAGCCTATTCCTGAAGGACTACACCCCATGAAAAGGACCCACACAGGAACAACCTGTAAAGAACAGTAGCCTGTAGGAAGGATTCATGTTGGAGAAGTTGGTGAAGGACTCTTTCCTGTGGGAGGGACACTATGCTGGAGCAGAGAGAGTGAGTCATCCTGCTGAGGATGTGTGGTGACAACATGTGATGAACAGACCACAGCCCCCATTCACCATCCCCCTGTGCCACTGGCAGGGCAGAGGTAGAGAAATTGTGAGTGAAGCTGAGCCCTGCCTGGAAGAAGGGAGAGCGAGGGGAGTGTGTTTTGAGATTTGGATTTATTTCTCATTACCCTGCTCTGTTTTGATTTGCAATAAATTAATTGACAGAAGTTGTATCTGTTTTGTCCATGATGGTAATTGTTGAGTGATTTTTCCCGGCCCCTATCTCTATCCACAAGCCTTTCCTTGTATTTTCTTTCCTCTGCTGAGCTGATAAAAGGGAATGACAAATTTGCTTTAGTGGACATCTAGCATACAGCCAGGGTCAACCCACCACACAGGGCCATTCTGTTTTGGGAGAAGAGTACAGTGTCAGCATCGTGCTTCTTCCCTTGGGTCCATGGAAGTCACTCTGGGTTGATTTGTTTACTAGTTTAGACACAGACATGCTTTACTATGGCTCATAACATGCCCAGTGAGAATTTTTGCCAGATAGGATCACTGCAGCCAGGCACGACACATCAGTAGTCAAATAAATCATGCAAGGCTCACCTGTTTCAAGGACTTGCAGGTGAAGATTTCATGGGCATGGCCAGTTCATGCACTGTGAGCTTGACATTTCTGGAAGTGTAAGACTTACTGCACATGAAGAAAACTTACTGTAGATCTGCATCTGTGTGAAACAGACTGTGGAACAACCAGAGATGAGTGCAGGTACTGGTGCATGCATGGTGTCCATTTACCCAGAACTACCAGCCCAGGCAAAGTGATTGCCATGGCTCCAAATAGACAGCCAGGCATGCAGGAATCCTTGACTACGTATTTTTTCTGACAGTAGAAATTTTCAGGAAGAAAAACGGGTCTTTTCTTTGGAGATGTGGAGATATACCTAAGAATTTAGGATTTTCAGTTGTTTCTGAGTTAATGGTTTAAGCTCCTGTACCTTACAAAACTTTTCATTTCACAACAGTTTTTTATTTATCTTTTGAAAGTCTCCTGAATTCATGTGCAAAATAAATCATACTTGCAATTAGGTATTTGGTGAATTCTTAGCTTGCTGCATATGTTAATCATATTGAAACTAGCTATACTCAGGTTACTTTTAATTCAGTCTGAAAATCAGTATTCTCAGTTGAATTATGTATTGGCTTATGAAGTGTTGTGTCTTCACTAATGCAAGTCTTATTTTGTGAGCACTGCAAAAAGATTATATTGTTAATATACATAAAATTTTATTTCAGCCAAGTGTGTTCTCAAGGGAAATTCTAGGAGGCAAAGGGTCCTTGTTACTTGGAACATCATTAACAGTATTCTGTGACCTTCAAGGCAGATAATTAAAGAATAACTTGTTAAGGTTTATGTACCATCCATAGGTTTATTGAAACAAGAGACCTGTGTGAGATGCTGTTTCAAAGATTCTGTACAGATCAAGAATTGTTGTCTTTGACATAACCCTTATCAAGAACATCATACCAGAAATGAAGAATTGGCAATAAAACATCCCCTGTACTGGATTTGGGAAGTAACCAAACTGATTACAAAGAAAGATTGTAAATTGATTTAAAATGTGAAAGGGTTGTATTAAACTTAAAGACTGCTGTACTTGTTCCATATCTTTAGAAGTGACTGGCTGAAGACCGACTTGCCCATAGTCTGAAACAGACCTTTTATCATCTGTCTGCTGGATGGAACAATACAGGCATGTTTCATTTATTTAGAATATGGCCAGGGGCCAAAGAAAGATTAAAAATGTAAGCAAGAGTCAGTGCAATGGCTGTTCCTGTAAGAGTTAGGCTTTTGGACTGCAATATCAGCAAATCTGCCCCTGAAAGATAGATTTGTACAACAGAGGACTTTAATTTCATGTCCTGGAAAAAAAAAATTGGTACAGTAAGGACAGGCTTACCCATTACTCCAACAGTTGAATTTGGAATGCACTTGGCATTTACAAGAATAAACAAAAGCAACTGACACACTTGAATAAGTTGTTTTCTGTGCAGCAGAACTAATGAATGCAAACCAATTCTAAAAGGAACAAATTGTTCCTTATGGAATTCTGTCTTTGTTCTTCAGCCTCCCTCATCATAACCCCAGCTCCCCTGCCCAGGTCCTCTGCATTTTTTGAGCCAGCTGAGACTCATCACATGCTGCATCTTACTCAGGGCTGGGGTGTGCTCTTGGCACCCAGGCCCTGCCATAGCTGAGCTCACTGTGTCTCTGCCTCAGTGAGGGCAAGTTGTCCTCTGTCCTCCAGAAAAACTTCATTGTTTTATAGATGCCTGAGAGGGGTTCGAGCCTGCCTAACTGAGGGACCTAACATGAGCTCAAATTCAAGAAAGCCTTATTTCAGTGTTTCTGCCCTACCAAAGCAAGAATAGATCACTGCCTTTCTGAGACTAGGCATCTAATTTTTGCAGATAAGGTCTGCCTTTAGGGAGATCCAAAGGTATTCACCTGTCTCCACTGACTGTAGAGGGAAACTTTGCTCTAGGACAGTTTATTCTTCAGTTTTCTTAAATGTTTGGTCAAGTTAAAAACCTAAGGTAAGACTCCAATTTGAGCCTTGTTCTTTTTAATTTGATTGAAACTGACCATGGAGGTCAGAAGAGGAGGACAGATTGCCCCATTGTGGGAATGATGGGAAGCTATGCTAAAAAGTAATAGCAATTAAGAGACATGTATATTTAATATAGTGGTTTATGTGCTTTAATATTGCTCAGATAATGTAGAAAAATACTGCAAAAATAGAATAAATTTTCATTTAGTTTCATTAAAGCTTCTTTTGAATAGTTGAATACAAGTTCAAATCTTGTGTCTATCTGGAACAATTTAATTTTAAAATGTAGATGAGTTCAGTCCAAAGTTTCATATCAGGTAAAGAAACTGATTCTGTTATCAACATTGTTAGTGAATTGAACAGAAGAGGAAAATTTCTTGAACTTCTGTAGAAAAGCCATGTATCACCAGTTGAATTCAGCTTTTCTAATATACCTGTGTCTTCTGAAAGTACCCAGACTGGTGGCTGATGCGATTCCTTAACCTTTCTCCAAAATATGTTTTTAATTTTTCATTCACACTCAGGTGGATCAGAGATCTACTGTTTTATGATTTAATTCTCTTTGACTGTATTGGAACATGTACAGCTTATTACACAAAAGGGAGCAGGAGGACTGCTGATTCAAAGGGATAGTAACAGAATTTGAAATAAGTCTGTTTGAAGAAAAGAAGAAACCGGTGGAGCCTTTAGTCAAAAAATCTGACTGATTTCAAGCTGAAATCTTTCGCACATTTGCATAACAAAGAGCACATTATAAAATGAATGTTTGTGCCTTCTTGTCCTCTTGGTGTGAATCTGGAGTGAGGAGATACTCTAATGACAGTTCCACTGTGCTAGCTCAACCACAAGTGTGACTGGGAAGTAGATGAGATCTCACAAGAAACATGTTTTGAACTCAGTTGCACAACAGAAGAATTGAGCTGTTTAGGAGTAAGAATACCTAGTTTTCTTCAGTGAATGTCTGGAGACCTTGACATTGGAATGCCTGTCTATTTGTCCACCCATGCTCTGCTCCTTTTTTTTGTTTTGTTGTTTTTTTTTAAATTAAGTGCCAGTTTGGCCAAGGTATGCACGAAAAGTGCTAATAAATCTCTCATCGCCTGGGCTGGCTTTGTTTCACAGACAGCACCCACAAGACTGCTGTGTCCTCTTCTGTAAGCAGTGACATTGGCACAAAGAAAAGCAGTTCTCCTTGCCACCGACAACCAACCTGCCTTCAGAGGGCAAACAGGTGAGTTCCTTTACTTGCAGCCAGATTTTGCTTCTTTTCTTTTCCACCATGCAAATACGCTCTAAGCCTTCTATGGTCTGGCCCTAGACCCATATGCAGTCAAATTTTTCCTCACACAGTTGAAATAAAATTTTACAAGTCAGTTTTGCTTAAGCAGCAGAATGCTTGGGGAACCATCCTGGACTCAGGGAAAGGTATTTCCACTGAGGTATTAAAAATACTAAAGTGCCAAAACCATTATCTGAATATTTCTGAAAAAGAAGAAAGCGTAAGAAATATGGAAAATCCCACTGGATTTATTTGTGCAATATATAATTTGTGAATTACAGAGAACTCATCTAGGACACTATCAGTCCTTGGGGAGGCTGCCTTATTTCTGCATTGCAGGATTTCCACATTTAATGCACTTAGGAGTAGAAAGGTAAACCAAAGCTAACACCTTTTTTTTTTAAAACCAAGACTTCTGTGTTCAACTCTTAAGTGATTTAATGTGGAAATTCTGAGGGACAAAAAGCAGAAAAAGGAAAGAGCAATTGTAAATAAACCCACAAGAAATAAGGAGGATTTTGGCAAAGGAGGGTAAAAAGATAGAGAAATGAAATATGTCTAGTGAGAGAGAAAGAAGGAGTAACTGCAGGGAACACCAGAAATTTCCTACCCTTGGGACCATATCAGAAGCTCAGACAGAAGCAGCTGTGCCCATCAGAGACCCAGATTTGTCAGAGACCCTAGGGCTGTCTTGACAGAAATTAGACCCAACTTCCAAATGTCAAGCAAAACAGGATTAGAGATGAAGAAAAGTTTTTACCTTAAATAAAAAGCTTTGCCTTAAATAAAAACCTTCAAAGGACTGTCCCCCTACTCCTCTACTGCATGAGGAATAGAAAACTTTAGGAGTCAATGACTGTTGGACTCTGTTGTCGAGGACATGGTTATAATGCAGCTTGGATAGCCATGGTGAATGGGGCCAATGGGGGATACAAATGGAATGACCTTCTTTTGTTGCATTTTGGTTTTCAGTTTTTATTAAAAAAAGCTCTTTAGCTGAGGTCTCTACCTAGGCTTTTTTGTAACTGAGATATAAAACAGTTTGGCTCCATCTTAACTGGCCAGCCAAACTTACAAGGTCAGGCCATAAACGAATTTAACAACTGTTGTTAATTAAATAGTTATTGTAGTATAGATGGGGTCAAACAAAGGGTATGTGTGGGAGGGGAGGGAAAGAGAGGGCCTAAGTGGCAAAAGGTGGGGGAATCTTGGCTCCTGACTTAGAAGGCGTGAACAAGCAAGAACTCTGTGGAAAAGACCTCTGGGACATAATAATAACAGTTAGCATTTCAAATTTTGGTGTAAATATTAAGAAATTAATAGCAAAAAACCCCAACTCATGTTCTCTCATTTACACTTCCCCATTACATGAAGCTGTCTTGGTAAGACTTGGCTTTCCTCCAGCAGAAATCCTTTATCTGCCTCTATCAGTGGTATCACTCCAATGACATATTAATGCCTCCCTATGCCAGGATGTTGTCCAAGATCCAGCTGTTTGAAAGGGTTGTTACAGAATGGGAATTCCAGTTGGAGATTTATAGAACAGCAACAGGAAAAAAAAGAAGGAGGATTACATTTAATTTTAATACTCAGAAATGTGCTTTCCTTGTCATGAAAGTGGAACCCTGCCTGTGTGTCTGCAGCCTGCCTTGCAAACTGATTTTGTGTGTGCCTAGCTAAAACCAGTGCCTGTGATATGATCTGATTTTGACTCTACAGAGGAAGGTAGGAGGAGCAAAATTTATGTTTCAGGTCTGTAAGGCATTTTAAAGTTAATCGGGTCCTTTGGGTCTGATATAATTTGTGTAAGATTGCTGTTGATGATTAGAATAGCTATTTAAGATTTTTGTTAATAGTCTGTTACATGGACCCAGTGGAAAGATTCCAATAGCAGTCAGTTAGTTTTTCCCTGTCACATTCAGGTTGCAGACCCTTCACAGA